TTTCTTTTCCCCTGCTTTCCCCGTCCAAAAACTGGAACGGACGCCTTCCGTGTTCCCCCCGGAAATACCAAAACAGAAGAAGAAAAAGAAACCAGTGGGGGAGGAAGGGGGGGAGCCTTGAAGTTTGTCCGCAGGAATGCCTCGTAATCGAAACCTACAACAATCGGCAATACGTTTTCTTCGTTTTTATGGCCGGAGAGGGGAAAGGGGGGGGGCGGGGGGAGTTATCCTTGCGTCATTCATTTGGAAGATGGCGCTGAAAAGGTGGGCTGCAGGTTTGTTTCAATTATTGTCTATTTGTGGATCGACAAGTGTCATGTTTTGCCTGCTCGCCTGCTGGGGCCGCCGCAGCCGTAGCACGTATTGTTGACGAGTTTATAGAGTAGTCCAGTGCGCTTTATTTTTTTGCTCTCTTTAGTGCTTCTATAAGTTAACACCGTTGTCCCATTGTCGTTCTTGTTGTCCCGACGTAGCCGGATTGCACGTCCGTTTTTTTTCTTGTCAGATGTTGCTGGTTGTATCTCGGTGCATTCTTTTTTTCCCCCATGTTGGAAGCAAGCGGAGATAGCGAAGGCTATAGCGCTGGGGTCGCGTGGAGGGGAGGGGAGGGGGGCGAGGACTGATCGGTCGACCAGCCCCCTTGCTACACTATCTTGTGCACGTGCACAACCGCTTGCCAAGTGTCGTGCATGGATTTATACATGCACATACGGACCGGGCACCGAGAGGAATGCGTGAGTGAGTGCCGTTACCGTTCATGCTAGTCGTCGTGCGTCGAGGAAATGTTTTTTGGTGTTTCAGCAGGGTAGGCAACCATCGTGCAAAGTAGAGGGGGAAGAGGGCGTTCGTACTGCCATCCAGGCAGGCCGGTGTGTTTCTCCCGACACGATATGGGGGGGGAGGGGGCGTACTCTTATGTTTCGCATGCCTCAGCGGTTAGAGCATTGACCACGCGTCCTGGAGAGGACGGAGCATTGTTCCCACAGGACCGATCACCGATGGCTAATCGTTCCTTTCTACTTTGCCAAAGGTGGCTCAAAAATGTCTTCCCTAGTCTGTCTATTTTAACGATATCCCTTGCCGCCTTTTCAACCCACCTCCTACTCCCCAGTACAGGTACCGTCCTTTCCTTTCTATTCCATGCCTCAAACATCTCCCTGTTCGTCGCTTCTATTTTTTCCAGCTCAGTCACGTACACTTCCCTCTCTTTCTTGTACCACGGGCATTCCGCGACTACATGAACACGGTCTTCGCATTCGAAGCCGCAATCACATTTGAACTCGTC